AGAACGGGTGCGACACGTCCAGGCGGGATTAACGCAAGCCTGTGCAAAAAGGGTTGTCTTCAGTCTACAATGCCTGCAGCTTTTCATGCCTGACTTTCCTTGACCCCGAACTCCACATGAAATGCATTCCGTCGAAACTACCCCTGCAAAGGATTTAGGGACTTGAATATATACAACTGTATTATAACATACCCCAAAACCGTGTTCTAAAGGCTCCAGTACTACACCCAGCTGAAACCCCTTCAAGCCCCTATCCTGGAACCCTCCTATAGCCCTTAGAGAGAAAAAACTCATAGGTGCCCTTTAAGGGCGTTCTGAGGGATCCTAAACCCTAAACCCTAAACCCTATACTGCATTTGAAAAATAACCCTAAACCCTGAACCCTAATCTGCATTTTAAAAAATAACCCTAAAGCCTTAACCCTATACTGCATTTAAAAAACCCTAAACTTTTGGTCAGGGCGCCGAGCCCGGGATTCTTTGCGGCGGCCTCGTGGCCTCCACGCAGGCACGGTTTCGCTTTTTTAGTTTTCTGTTTTTGCGGGTTTTGGGTTCAGGGAGTTCAGGGATTTTTACAGATGCCTGCAGAGCTTATGAGGGAAATTTTCAGGGTTTAGGGTTCAGGTGTTTCTGCGGCTTACAGATGCTTATAGAGCTATATGAGGGTGAGGGAGTGGGCGGTAATTGCTGGGAGTTTCGAGCCTTTGGGGTGGGTGTGGTCTGTGGCTTGGAGTTTCGGGTGTTTAAATTGTTCGTTTCTTAAAGTCCATAAGTCCATGGAACATACTTTCTTTGTGGCCGCGGTCTGGTTGTTATCTACGGTTCGTTGTTGAAGGAGCTGGGAATCCAGGGTATGAGATGCTGTTGTGTGTTGGAAGCCAGTTTTCGGATTCTGGTGTATCCGGCAGAAGCTTTACTAAAGCATTTTGATACCGGATAGCAGCCGGATGCCATTCTTTTGCTGTATGCAGATCTAAATAAGTGATAGCAGATATCTGTGCATCAGGGAAACCAAGCCCGACAAGCATCAGCTCGAACACGATGTACCAGTAGCTGCAGTCGCAATCGCAGTCGCTGCCGTCTTTGTCCTCGTCATCCTCCTCGTCCCCGTCTCCGTCGCCGTCGTAGGTAGTAGTAGATTTTGTTCTCGTTCTCGCTAGCCCGAAAGCCTTATACAGCATGTTCTTTGGACCAGAAGAAGCCTTTAAATTGGACACTGCCCCCACTCAGTAACAGTTGGATAATATTCATAATAGAGGTATGTAAGGCCCTTAGTAGTAGCCCTATTATAGACTGTTTTTGTATTGGGGCAGTACCCAACCTTTAAATATGATTCCTTAGAGCTGTGGGCTATAGAGCCACCACACGACGAAGCTTCCCTTGGAGACCCGGCCGGTGCGACCTGGGACGCGCCGGGCCAACGCCCAGCGGTCCACCAGGCCGGGGAGGGAGATGTTTGGGTTCTGGGTTTGGGGGTTTAGGGTAGTTTAAGGCTCAGGGTTCTTTGCAAGGATTGCTGTAAGGAGCAGGTTTGTAGTGTAGGGTGTGCGGTTTCGAGATCCTTGAAATAGCTTCTGACTGCAGCGTTTAGGGGTTTTGGGTGTGGTGTTTGGGGTTTACACTAAGCCCAAAGTACTTGGAAACCGGAACCAGGATGTTCAGTGCTGGTAGTGCCTTTAGCGCTGTCTCATGCAGTCATTATATGTCAGTGAGTTTCGTCTCTACGGGATTTACCGCGTCATCATGGTCACCACTAGTACCCCCCCTCCCGAATCATTCTGGCACGACCTTCCACAACAGCAGCATCAGAAACAGAACGGCCACAACACCACCACTGCCACCACTTGTACGATCACTACCGTCAGCTGTACCCACCACCATGCGACGAGCCAGGAAGACAAAATAGGCAGCCAAGACACATCGTGAAACATATCCCGGATACTTTAATGTCGCGCAGCAGTTCCGGCGTACTTACAATTGCGATGCGTGCAGCAAGTGCAACTATATCGTAGTGGTGCAGCAGCCTTATAGCGGTACAAACGATCTACAACTGTAGCAAGTATAGTACTGGTGTATATTGATGAACAGTCGTAGCAAGGCGCACGAACAGTAGCCGCGAATACTTGGTCTCTTGCGAATCCTAAGCAGAGTCCCGCTCATCCCACAGCTTCTTGTTGAAGGAGCGCCCGACGTGCGGTGGGGGCACGCCTCATGCCGAAGCCCACTGCGGAGCTGGGCTGGGTTGAAACCGAGGGTAACAATGTCACTACCTCTTGCGTAGTCGTGGCACAGGGCTAGCAGTTCACCGGCAGTACTAGCACTAGTTCTAGTACGTACGAGTACGAGCGCCAGTATCAGTACCAGTTTGTGCCAGTAATGTAATACTACTCGTGCCAGTACCAGCACATGTGCTTTTATGCAAGCAGTACTACTAGCAATAGGTACGAGCATCGTTTCGAAGGTGCCCCGGGCAAATCCATGGAGTCCCGCAGCAAAAAAAATCGTTTCGAAAGTTGTCGTCAAACCAATCGCAGCAAAGAGATGTGCAAGATATGCTCTGAGCCTCAGGGTTCGCACCATCAACAGCTTACGATCCAACGCGGGCATCATGGAGAAGTTGTCAGTTTCTTGTTAGGCTACGACATTTCCGTTCTCAGAACTTTGCAGACACCACAAGCCGATTACAGGTCTAGTCAATTTGTATTACTATCGCACCCGACGGCTCCACGTCGCTGTCTGTACATACTTTTGCCTAAAGGCCCTTCTCTCTCTCTCTATATATATATATATATACACTGCTTTAATCCATTGAATTGCTTATGGAGTGCCCCAGGGCCAATGTACATACTGTAGAGGTCCATGGACCCAATCTACAACTGGCAAAGGAAAGCAGATGATGGAAGCCCTAAACCCTAAATGCTGAAGCATGAGAAGTGGAGGAGCCCACCGTGCGATCTTTCGACATCAGCAAGGCAAGGATCTTTTGTGTCCATGCCACGATGCGACCCAGCCTTTGTAATGGGTGGTGGATAACTTGACAAACAAGAGAACCCTGAAGCCTAAACCCTAAGCCCAAGACAGTTTGTAGAAATGGAAGGGGGCTTACGATTTTTGCGTTGGGCCTTCGAACCCAGCTCAAGCTAAGTTTGCTTCGTTTTCCGGTCGCACGCCATAAAATTCGCGAACCTAGGGGCCTTAGTAAGTATACCTATATTATTTTGGGGGCTCCTTGTTATAATCACGGTATAATATACCCCAGAACCCTATTCTGATTATGAAAGGCCCTTACATTACCTACCGGCCACATACTCTACATTATGAAAACAAGACTAAGCCAAGCAGCTACAGAACCGCTTGAGTCTCAGGCTCTACGGAAGGGAAGGTGTCTTGTTCTCCTAAAGCGTTCACTTGCTACCTTGGTGCCAGCATCACACCTCTTTTCGATTCCCATATGCTCCTGAACCTACAACCCCAACCCTCATCGATGCTCACCCTGAACTCCGACTACATTTTAGCGCTTGAAATTGGGACCTAAAGCTATCCTGGACCCCAGCGCCCTGTCCCAGTGTGAGCGCCGACACCCGACAAAAACCCACCATTCCTTACACCCGAAACCTTGGCAATGCTTACGAGCCGGAAAAGCCCCAGAAGCGACTTTACCCAGACCCCAAATGCCCTCAATGTCCATGTGCCTTGTCGGTATGTAATTCGCTTTAAAGTACCTGCATAGGAAGCCCTCTAAAAGTATATACTTTATAGATGCATATATTCCTTAGGGGATATATTTTCTGATATTACCGGATCCTAGCAACCAAGTATGTCATCGAAAGAACGGTACTCCATTCTATAGGGTCTATAGGTAGGGCTCCAGGTCCGGGCCAAGCTTCAGCACGGTATCCGCGGAGCTGGACAGGGTGTAGGATTACGTCTTCAGGGCTTGGGTTACCTATAGTCTCCATTGTAGTTCCTTTTTGGGGATGCCTTAATTATAAACTCCTTATTATATAATTGGTTAAACAAAAAAAGGAACTAGAATGGAGACTACAGGTATGTCTTACGAAGGAGTCAGAAGTGTTCTTTTTGGGTTTGTGAGGAAATTGAAAGATCATGAGTCTGGTCCCGGTTCCCAGACAGCCCGGAACCCCATCCCCATCATATAATTGAAGTGATCCTTGTCTTTTTTTGGTTTAGGGTTTAGGCCTGGGTTTTGGGGTTTATAAGGAGCCGACGGGTGTGAAGGGGAGGGTGAACAGAGCAGTTTTTGCCCAGGCGTATCTGGAGGGTCACTTTCCCTGATTTGCCATTAGCTTTTGCCATGTCTACTTGAGCAGGCACCCTAAACCCTAAACCCTAAACCGTGTGGCGTCATTCACAGGTTAGCCAAGGATCTCACCGACTA